AGTTGTAGAATAGACAAAGTAAGAAACGAGGAGATCAGGGAGCAAATGGGTGTCAAGAAAGATACCTTAACATTGATTGAAGAAAAGAGATTGGTATGGTATGGGCATGTAAGAAGAACGGACAGAAATAGGTGGATACACAAGATAACAGAATGGAGCCCCATAGGTAGAAGGAAAAGGGGTAGACCCAGAAGATCTTGGAAGGATGAAGTAGATGAATCTATGGAAAAGAGAGGTATCGGAGATGAATGGCAACACAGAGATGGATGGAGGCGTAGGTTGAGAGAAGGGAGACAGCGACAGCTGTAAAAAAAACCCTATATATATATGTCCGAGGTGGCTCGCATCCGTGGCACATGAAACTCACGTGTTAAAGTGATGCTGCCCGCACGCTAGGTTGATGTATAAATAGGTATTCTACAAAACGGAGTAGAAACAGATTTTTTGAATATTGTATTTGCCAGCTGTACCTCCTACGGAAAAATGAATATGTCAGCTGCGTCAGGGTGATAGCAATGCTGTAAAGAAAGTATAAGGTTGTTTAAATTTTGTATAACAACGCGGCACATATCCAATTGTTTATTTCCATTAATCACAGTTTGTGTACGACCTGAGAGACGTTGAAAAACATGCTAGTTTAAGATTTTTAAAAGCTTCAGAAATATTTTTCTCAGTTATTTTAGTATGAGTCCTTTTGTAATCTTAAATAGCATCGAAAACGGAACGAAATACATAGACGAGCTATCTAAGGAGGCCTCTTCCGTCCCCGATCTTATAAATTTCGCGTTGTTCGATAACCAAAAACCGCTTCCAAATATTACCGTCTAGAGACGCAAATAACTAAGGAGTGTGTAAAATTTAAGTAGACAATTTGCCGTGTTAGCGTATATTATATCGGAGCGCGGGTTCGTATCTTTGCTTCAAGGAGGCGGTACGTGCCTCGAAATTGCTTTATTTCGATTTTGGCAAGCGAATATCATATTCACCTTATCTCGGGCGGGCTTCGAATCGATTTAATATTTCGATTCAGGCTCGATGTTTATTGAAACGCTTTCAGTTTCCCGTTACCCGACTATCTGTTTTCCATGTTTGGAATTTTTTAAAACGTGTGTCGCGTACCGCATATTCGATGCGGCAAAAACTCCTACACGGCACTGCCGGTAATGAAAAAAAAATGTCTCTCCTGATTATAAGTATTATTATTACATGTGTAAAAATATGAAATGTTATACTATGCAGCAAGTGCGATAAATGACAGTGAATTCATGAGATATTATTCGGCACGAGCGGAGCGAGTGCTTAATAAACGAGTGAGGTAAAGAGTTTACCGTCACGAAAAATTCACAATTTAACCAATTAAAAATAATAACAGATTACCGAATTACTAAATTTCGTACCATTCAAACAAAATATTTACCAGTTGCCATTAAACCTATTCGTTTATCGTTCCGATCGGTTCTGCTATTGTTGTCTCTTTTTAGCTGTGTACGTTAGACAGAGATAGATGTATTATTGGATATGTCATACAAACAACGGAATAAACACAATTTTAAAACTTTATGTTAACCTTCAATTTTGTTTTGTTTGTGCTGATGAGACATGGATATTTGAAAATGCACAATTGGTCTTGGCAAGATATTAATACAAAAACTGTGTCGCTTAATAGGTATTTAAATTTTCTGATATATTACATAACATTTTTCTGTGTATTAGTTTTTGGGTATATTGTTCCCAGACCCGTGCAGTAAAATCCAGGAAATATCCGAAGTGACTCGTTTCCGTGGGAAACGAAACTGAATTGATAAAGTGACGCTTCCCGCACTCTAGATCGGTGTGTAATTAGGTATTTTACAAACGCGAATTGTTAAAAAGAATTAATATATCTAGATATAGATAAATTAGTATATCTTAATATATCTTAATTAATATATCTAGATAACAAAAAAAAAGGTATTTGTGATTGTTGTCTTTAAGTTTTAATGCTTTATATCACAGTGTCTAGTTAAAAATTGTAAAACTCTATCTATAATCTATAATAACAATTAAGGCGAAAAGGTTCTCAATCTTTTAGTGGTGGTATGTGGTATGCCTTGGTTGATTCTGTTTAGTTGTTCAGATCCATCAGCAATATTATTCAACAATTTAAGAATGAATACTAAGTCAAACCTTTCCTGTTTTGTCAAAGTTTGCAGCTGGTATTCCTAACTCAAAATTACAATACCTCAAGAACTTGTTCTGACCCTTGTCAATAGGATCAATCTGCTGGTCATACAGTGGCCAGACTACTTTGAGGAACATTTACGAGATAAATAGGCATTTTATAAAAGTAACAGAGCTTTATTAATATTGGTCGGAAAAACAAAAAAGGGCTAACCACCCAGTAACAGGGACGTCAAATGAAAATTCAACACAATTATTCAAACCTATGAGCTTTGGATCTTTTTGTGTTATGTCTGATAAGTGATCAATCAACATTTTCATTAAAAACTACGATTAGATCTCTAATCTAATTTTTATAAAACAATTTTTCATTATTCATTGTGTGATTGGATTCATATTTTTTACAGCATTTAAAAAAGCTAATAAAAAAGTACTTACCATTATTTAAGTTAAGGTTGTTAATATTTTCTTGTTATTTTTGTATATCAATCGACTAATGATTGATATAATTTATGAAAATGTTAAATAAAATCACCTGCTTGGGGTATCCACGAAAATATCTCGATGATTTTTTTTAATATGCAATCTGTGGCTTTTCTAGTGAAACCCAAATTATTTAATTTTAAGAGCGACACATCAAAGTTAACTCTGTCAAAGGCCTTGGAAGAGTCGGTGTAGACAGAATCCACTTGCCCCCTCTCCAAGGCCTCCAATAGATTCATCTCGTAAATCGCCAAATTAGTAGCCGTAGCTGCAAATCCATTTTTTTCTACTCTTACACCGCGAATTTAGCTGATTCTAAACTAATTTATTGATTGATTGATTGATCAGGGCCTGCGGATATTGACTTTTTCAGTTGGGTGGTGACTTTGATTATTATTATTAACTAAACAGTTATTTAAAATGGTTTTGCGCTATCTAGTGTGTGATAGTAAGTAGTTACAATCATCGAAATTTAATTTTTAATAGGTAAGGTACAACCATCGTGCAGGATAAACTGAAAGCTTTGACATTTCCAAATCTAGAACGTAGCTCAACCAAATCATACAGCACACTGGTGATCCCTTGAACATGATTACTTAAATTAATATCTATGTTCAAAAACAAAATATATTTTATAACATAAAGTTAATTCGTTTTCTTTCCAATAGATTTTATTCAAAATTTTAAATATCAAATAATTTACATTAATTAATGTAAACTTAATGGATACTATCTAAGGAGGAAAACGCCAAAAAAAAATATTGCTACTAAATAAAGGAAGAAGGAAATTGAACGAGAGTGAATGCACGTCGGAGGATGAAAAAATTGTTTAAGCGAAGAATACACATAAAATAGGACGGGGAATGATAGAACAGAGAGAAAATTTGTGCATGAATAAAAAAAATGGTGTTCGATAACATTTAGTGTGCAACCTTAATGTATAGAGCAGAGGTATGGGAATGGAAGGTCCATATATTAAAAGTGAAGTCAGATAATGGTATGGGAAGAAAAAACACTCAAAGCTAGTAACAAAAAGAGGAGGACTAAGCAGAAAATGGAAGAGATTGACTTGAAAGTGCAAAGTATTGTGATGAATAGGAAACTGACCGAAATAGGCAGAGTATCCAAGAAAATATTGGAAACATAAAATAAACGAAGGGAATGGTGCTAAGAAGAAGAGGAGAGAAAGTGTGAATTATGCAAACATGAGAAGTAAACCATATATTACTACTAATTTACTAGTAATTTCTTGAATAATTTAGATACCATATAGATGGATATACTGTCAACAGAGAGAAATTAAAAAGGATATTTAAAGACGTTAGAGTTATAAACGCGCAATCTTTAATACAGTAATTTGGTATTTTATCAATGCCTGTAGATAATGAGTTATTTAGTTTAGTGGTGGCTTTGATTTGAGAAGTAATTTGTCTCCAATTATTAACTAAATAATTATTTAAAACTGTTTTGAGCTGAGTTCGATGTAGGTCAATCCAAATTATTGTTATATAAAGGAAGAAGGATAGTAACTAGAGTGGAAGGTAGTTAATTATACATGAAATAGAACTGGGAATGAAAGAACAGAAAGGGAAGAATCTTAATATTTGGAGTGGAGAGATATGGGTATGGAAGGGATAGGATAGTCAAAGCTAGTAACAAAAAGAGGAGGATGAAGAGGAAAAAGGGAGATGATGCGTAAAAGAGAGCTGAGCGAAATAGGCAAAGAGTATCCAAGGAAACATTGCAGATATAAAATAAGTGTTACATATCGAAGTGAATGGTGCTAAGAAGAAGAGGAAAGAAAGTGTGCATTATACACACAACGGAAGTAAACCATCAAACATATTTAGAGTGTAAAAAAAAACAGGGATTAATAGCGACGTGTCAATATGGAGTTACGCATATGCAAGTAAATGGTGGTGAGGAGAATAGAGATAGTGTGGATTGAGCAGACAAGGTAAGGAAACCATCAAATATATGTCGAGAAGCTGTGCAAAACTGAAAAAAAACGAAGACATAGAATATCAGAAGTGTGCAACCCGATGCCGGGTCAGCTGTACTTAGACTGCGAAAGAGTTCACTTCAAGCTTACTGTGGCGACCGTCTTCTGCATAAGAAATTTAATGCCTTTTGGATAGTTTCTCAAGGAGACCGTTTGGGCAGATTCCCTCTGAAGAAACTACCTTTATGGTATTCAATATTGATATTATTATCGTAATTATTTTTAGTTCAACGGTATTGCGTTTCCTAAAGACTAATTTGAATTGCGGAGCATTTTAAATTATATGTTAGTCCAAATAATTTCAAATGTAGTTTCTAGTTCCTCATTAAACTTTCCTTCTTTATTTGTTTCACAGGGAAGTGAAAACGATGTGGCGTCTGAAAGATCCGAACGTGACGTCATTGCTCGGCATTTCCGTCGAATGTCAGACACTGTGCGGTTGCATCCGTGAATACGCGCCGTACGGCGATCTGTGTCAATTCCTGCAGGATCACGTAGCCGAGACTGCGACGCCATTGGCACCGACGGCAAGCACGTTGAGGTAAGCGGTTCGGCGGGATTTAGCTCGCGGGGCAGCGGAGGGGGTGCTTTTAACTTTTATTTATTCTACCGTACGTACGTAACGCGGCGGAGCCGATGCTTATCACTAACTTGTTGAAGTGCTGAGAGAAATGCCGCTATATTTTGTTATCCTTTCGTTCGTTAAGGGTTTTTCGAAGTCGCGTTTTTCTATTCAAGCGTCGTCCATTAGCGTTGCGAATGCACACGGAAAACCATTTACCAGGTCTTCCTTTTATATTTCGGGATTTTCTTAAACTAGTCCTGCCATCTGGCGACTAAAATTTTTATAGGGAAGTTTCACATTTTGAGGTTAGGTTTGCTCAGTTAGGTTTTGGCGAAAGAGTGTTGTTTGTGTTTTTTGTAATAAATTTAAAAAATTGTGATGGTTAAGAATGGAACTTAATCGGGAGCATTTTAGTGCAATAATTTTTTGCAACTTTCAACGTGGACTAACTCAACAACTGATGAACTTAATTCGACTTTTGGAGTTAAAGCACCATCTAGGACGACCGTTTATCGCTGGTTTTCGGACTTCAGTCGTGGTCATAGTTTCCGTGAGGACGAATTTCGTGAACGTCGTCCAAAATCCGTGGTTGTTCAAGAAAATATTAATGCAGTGCGGAAACTTATTTTGCAGGTTCGTCATGTGACTTAGCATGAGATGAGATCTTTGGGCATTAGTGGGACCAGCATATATACAATTTTGCCTGAACATTTAGCCGCTAAAAAAAATTGTTCGCGTTGGATTGCACACAATTTGACATCAGCTCAAAAAAATGTTGGTGTTGATTGGTCTAAGGAAATGCCAAAAATACCATCGCGGTGCTTGAGAAAAGGCCACAAAAATAGTTCGTGCGCGAAGCACCTGGAAACAAATGGTTGCAGTTTTTTTCAGGAAAACTGGCCACGTTACATCGTGTTGAAAGTTAAAACAGTTAATTCGCCGAAAGTCTTCGAAGAAATTAGAAAAACCAACCGCCGAAGACGAATCACTCTCCATGACGACAAAGCTGGCTCTCACCGATCAGTGCAAACAAAGAACTTTTTGAGTATTAAAAACGTTTATTTGATGAGCCATCCACCATATAGTCCTGATTTAGCACCTAATGACTTCTTTTTATTCCTATATGTTAAGAATAAATTACGTAGGCAAGTATTTTTGAAACCTGAAGAAGCGATTGATGCGTTTAAATAGCATCGATCTGGGAAAAATGCTTTGACTATTGGTTTTATCTATTGCAAAAGTGTATTGACCGCCAGGGTGAATATTTTGAAAAACAATAAAGTCATATTTATTGGTAACTTGTAGTTTTTTATTACAAATTCCGAAATATAAAGTAGCCCTCGTACGTGGTCTATGAGAAAATGTATGATAAGGTACCGGGAAGCTTTTAACAGCTCGTAAAATCACCGATCAATAACTAGAGGACTAAAAAGGGACAGTCTCTGCTTTGGTTACACCAGATCCCCCTCAACATATTGAAAAATGCTAATTGTTTCTTTAGGAGGAAAAATATGGTTTTTATTTGGTTGAGATACTAGGAATATGTTGTTTAGGCATTTTAATTATTGAAATAATTGCACAGAAATAAAATGATTTTTTTTTGGTTTACATCAAAAAATTAATTCAGGTTCATAATATCCGGCAGTGAATTTTTGAGAATAGCTCGTCAAAATATGATTATGTTTATTTGAATATGAGTTGAAATTGCGTCATAAGATTTGTTTAACAGACTAATTTAACAGAGTTTTACAATGGAAAAATTCTCTATGGGTTTTTACCAACATTACTTATTGCCCTAAAATCACAAGTAAAATTTAATTCATTATTCCGCAGTGCAGACCCTTTGAGCCTTTCTGTATCGATTTTCATGTTATTGACTCTTTTGATAGCGCACTTAAATTCTTCAATCAAGCACAGTGTTATATATATATATATATATATATATATATACTATATATATATATATATATATATATATATATATATATATATATATATATATATATATTATATATATATATATATATATATATATATATATATATATATATATATATATATATATATAGTATATATATATATATATATATATATATATGATGACACTATATTCCGGGATATCATCCGTTCGCTCGTTGAACTCCGACTGGAATCCTGCATCCGACTGGAATCCTGCAAATCTTGCATCCGACTGGAATCCTGCAGACGTTTCGCCAAAATCTCACTTGGCATCTTCAATGGTCGTGCTCCGAAAACACTTCGAACACTGAAGATGCCA